CTCCCCGTCACCTCAGAAACCTCCGCTCCCAGTCTCCCAACCTGGGCCTGCATCTTGAGGAGGCTGTCGACAAAGTTTGTGGCTAGCTTAGTGCACACCGGCTTGCAGTACCAGTGAAGAAGCGGTATCGTGGAACTCTTATCCTTCATGACCACCTCGTATGGGGCTACAGCTCACACAGCCCGAATGTCACTCAATGTTTTGAAACGCAGGTTTCCCGGAGGTCTGGTGTCTCTGAGGGGTGATTTACAGTGGCCTGCGAGGTCACCTGATTTGAGCATTTGCGATTTCTTTCTTTGGGGACATCTAAAAGAAAGGGGTTCAGAAGTTGCCCTCACACCCTACCACAGCTAAGGGTACGGATTATTGCAGCAGAGGTTATGGCCATACCTTACCATATGTGTGAACGTGCTGTAGAAAACTTCCAAGAACGACTCCAACAGTGTGATGCAGTTAACAAACCCCATCTTCCTGATATTGTTTTTAACCCATTAATGCCCAAATTTTTTATTTGTGAAATTTCCATCTAAACACCTTCATATGGTGTAAATTTTTCATATAAAACAGTTTCTGCACAATTTTAGAGGATATAATGAGAGAAGCAGTAGTTTAAAGAAAAAGTCCCAAATGGGGATCATGGGCAACAGGATAATAAAAAATTCTGGTTATTTTTTGTCACCGTTCTTAGTATTATTTCCAAACTTATGAAGGAGTATGTGTTATTAGTGCTTCTTTCTAATGCTAAATGCACATTCCTTTGTTTGTCACAACAAAATTAATGAGATTACATGAAGACACATTGCTCCTTTCAAACTCAATATATGAAAGTAATAATTATCCTCAAAATGAGAGTAATTTCACTGATGCCATTCAGGGAAGCTTTCAGCGTGTACCCCAACAATGCACTTGGTACATTCCTTTCGGACATTTATTTTGTAAATGACGCTATTCCGTTGTCTTTCATCATCTGTTCGCTGTAGAACATGCTCTGAATTACTTCCTCCAAAGTCGTCATCACTCACCGCTTTGATTGCTTACTGAATGACGGGCGACCTGACTTCTTAGGATCTGACAAAGATGATACTTGCACATATACCCTTACTTTTCTCCTCTTGAATTCCAGCAAGGGCATTTGTCCGTTTGCCATGTAAAACAGAATGAGTGGATTTATGACTGTCATATCAAGAAAGTTTGTGAAAAGTAAAAAATACCATTTCTTTCCACGAACTTTGATCCTGTATTTATTGATGAGTCAATCCATTTTATTCACGCCACACATGTACTTGTTGTAATCGGCGATGCAATTTGGTTGTTCTAATGAGGCCTGGTCCTTCTTCTGCTTGCTCCATCTCTTCATCTTGACATCGTTGTTGCCTTTCCATACAACAGCAAAGATGTTATGGCTAATGTCTTAGCTGTAGTCAATAAAGCCACTTTATTGCTTTTTCAAGGCTTTTACTCTTTGTTCAGATGCGAGAGGACACTTGTTGGTTCAATTGAGCCTCACTCTCCCAGAAGCTGACACATTTTGTTCAGTTAGTTACTTCAATAGATCGAAACTCGTGAAAAAATTGTCAAAAAAGATTACATGATTACTCGCATTACTAGCTTTTGCAAATTTGTATAGGATAACTGATACTCCTAGTCCATTGACAGGCAATGAGTCTTCTTTCGTGCCTTTATAAAGATCAAAATCAAAACAATATCCTGTAGTTGAACAGCTTAGCACCCAGTTTTTGAAACCGAACCAAAAAGGCTTCTCTCTGATGAACTGCTTCAAGAAATGGTGTCCATAAAATTTAACCATTTGCTCATCAATGGTCAGATTTTTGGAAAAAATACCAAACATCAAGAAGAGTTGATTTATCATTTCAATTATAGGAGCTATCTTGAACGATTTTTGGCCTGAACGTGTTCTCACTGTTGAATTGTCATAGAAATGATGGTTTTGCTTCAGCTCAAGCTACCGGTTCTGTCTGTTCAGATTCATTTCCATGCCAAAAACATGTGATGAAATTATTTATTGTGCGTCATTCCTTCAATTTACTTTACTAAGCGAATGATAATGTTGCTAACTTCTGTTACTTTATGAAAAATTTTGGTAATACATCAGTATGTGGTAAAATACATTTTCCTTGGCTTTACGATATTCTTACTGCCCATGATCCCCAAATGGGGATCGGCATAAATGACATATTTACAGCATTACTAAAAGTATAATTGAGACTTACCTTAGCATTTTCAGAAGAACATAGACTATTCTACCACCTACTATGGTATTATCAATCAGAAATGCTTATAAATGGGAAAAATGTACATGTCAAAAATTGATATCTCTGTCAGATCACGATCAAGGTCACTTCTCTCAGAAAATTTCATATATTCCATTTTTCAGATAAAAGGATAGGTACACTTTTAACTGATCTCAGTTGATGTCTATAACCTATATGTATACTTTATTGAAGAAGAACATGTTCCTGATCAATAGTTCAGGAATAATATCCACAAAAGCAAATGATCCCCAATTGGGGATCATGGGCGCTAATGGGTTAAAACGTAAATATTTTAAATGGCATGTTATGCTAATCTTGAGGAAAATAAACTTTCTTCTTTATGTACCTCCATTACTCTTTTATTTTGCCTCAAAACTGTTCAATCAGTTCTGCTCCACCCTGTATAAGCTAGCTAACACATTTAAATTCTATATTATAATCAATATATAACAAATAGTTAAAGACTAGTTAGACTACTTATAGCCTTATAAGAATTAGCTAAGCTGCTAGCTACATACAATGTATTGCACACTTGATGCCTCTGTACCAAAAACATTCAATTTATTGGAACCTAATACACACTAAAGGCAACAAGTTTATATACCAATTTGTCATTCATAGTACATTTATACTTAACCATGAATAACAATACGTCAATATAAATTAAAGACTGCCACTCAATATGTTTAAATATATGAAAAAATCAAATAAATCAAAAAAATAAAAAAAATCGTGATTTTTATAAAAAAATCAAGTGTTTTAATCACATGATGTAATCATTTTGATTTAATCATTGCCAACCCTGATACCAACAGATTGTATGTTTTAGGCAGGGTTGGCGATTTTTTTGATTTTTTTAAAAAATCAAAAAAATCAAAAACCAATGATTTTTTTTATTTTTTCATGATTTTTTTTTATTTATTTGATTTTTTCAGCTTTTTTGTCTTTTTTGAGGCTTTATTTTTTATGTTGCAATTAGCCTACTAACAATAACAGTATATGGATCATAATGGATGGCTAAAAAGGGCACTTATTGCCTTCAATAATGGCCANCTGTCTGTGCCAGGCAGTAACTGCCCTTGAGGGTCTGATGTGGGGACTACAGCTTAATGGCTGTCTGTGCCAGGCAGTAACTGCCCTTGAGGGTCTGATGTGGGGACTACAGCTTAATGGCTGTCTGTGCCAGGCAGTAACTGCCCTTGAGGGTCTGATGTGGGGACTACAGCTTAATGGCTGTCTGTGCCAGGCAGTAACTGCCCTTGAGGGTCTGATGTGGGGACTACAGCTTAATGGCTGTCTGTGCCAGGCAGTAACTGCCCTTGAGGGTCTGATGTGGGGACTACAGCTTAATGGCTGTCTGTGCCAGGCAGTAACTGCCCTTGAGGGTCTGATGTGGGGACTACAGCTTAATGGCTGTCTGTGCCAGGCAGTAACTGCCCTTGAGGGTCTGATGTGGGGACTACAGCTTAATGGCTGTCTGTGCCAGGCAGTAACTGCCCTTGAGGGTCTGATGTGGGGACTACAGCTTAATGGCTGTCTGTGCCAGGCAGTAACTGCCCTTGAGGGTCTGATGTGGGGACTACAGCTTAATGGCTGTCTGTGCCAGGCAGTAACTGCCCTTGAGGGTCTGATGTGGGGACTACAGCTTAATGGCTGTCTGTGCCAGGCAGTAACTGCCCTTGAGGGTCTGATGTGGGGACTACAGCTTAATGGCTGTCTGTGCCAGGCAGTAACTGCCCTTGAGGGTCTGATGTGGGGACTACAGCTTAATGGCTGTCTGTGCCAGGCAGTAACTGCCCTTGAGGGTCTGATGTGGGGACTACAGCTTAATGGCTGTCTGTGCCAGGCAGTAACTGCCCTTGAGGGTCTGATGTGGGGACTACAGCTTAATGGCTGTCTGTGCCAGGCAGTAACTGCCCTTGAGGGTCTGATGTGGGGACTACAGCTTAATGGCTGTCTGTGCCAGGCAGTAACTGCCCTTGAGGGTCTGATGTGGGGACTACAGCTTAATGGATGTCTGTGCCAGGCAGTAACTGCCCTTGAGGGTCTGATGTGGGGACTACAGCTTGGTGGTTGAGAAAAGGCTTGGCCCAATTTTTAGTGCATTTTCTCATTTATGGAAAAAAGGCGCTGCTGTGCTCATGTCCATCTGTCTGTCTGTGACTTCATGTTTTTGTTGATGAGAAAATATGCTCTCTTGTCACTCACTGCAGTGAGTACTGAGTTATATTTTTTGCAACATACCCTTGCTACTGGTCATGTTATTCAGCAATTGTCATTGGTTAGTTATTTAATTACCTTGTAGTGGCCTATGTTATTAACATTTTGATGCTTGAGGTCATTAATATTTTTCAAGGCTCCCGAGAGATAACAGGATAGTAAGAGATAACAAATCAATAGTGATAACAGGATAGGAAGAGATAAATCAGAAGTGATAGCAGAATAGTGAGAAATAACAAATTGCAATGAGTGAAAATATACATGTCTACTCAGAAGAATAATATGTTTTAAATGTTAGAGACTAGTAGTATTCCACCTGATACATTGAATTTTGTATTTTTCATTAAGCATAATTGCTCAACTATTTCCTATTGAAACATGTGCTCACTTTTGCATCTATTCTTGTGACTCCAACCTGAATGACTTCTTTTCCCTGGAGTTTCTGAAGTCTGTGCTTAAAAAAAATACTGTGTTGGAGGATTGCAGAGGCTTTGAGATTTATGTTGTAGTGATATATTTATTATGTTCCAGAAATTTATTATATTTAAATTTATTATATTTAACTCCATCACAAACCAGTCCATTTATAATGGCTTCCATTAGTCAAGCATATTCCTTTCTTGGACAATTTCATCTGCAGAGGGTCAGTATTTTGGCCATTTATAATACCAGAAATGTGAGAAACGTCCATGATGGAGCAATTGATTGCTCCTCATCCAAAAGCAGAATGTATAATCCCATGCTACGACTGCCTGCCATGGCTGCCAAGGCTTCAAGATATAACTGCCGCTCCCTGAGGACAAGCTCAGAAGCTGCTGCTGGTGCTGTCACTGCCAAGCCTTCACCTGTGAGGAAAGAAAGCCTGAAAGAATTTTCTGAAATTCCTGGCCCTTCACCACTTCCCCTTGTAGGCAACACTCTCTTCATTGTCACTCATAAGGGTATGTTTTCTTGAAGTATTTTCATTATACTGTGCAAATGTAAATATCATTCATGTCCCCACATTTCCATCAATGGGTGGAACTCACATAAACGCATTGCCATTTGACTGTCTTTCATTACGTTATTCATGCTTGATTGTATATTGATCATGCTATTATTTTGTTGTCATTTAATTGTTGTATCAAGACCTTCATTCACATTATTTTCTCTTGTGTCATTGACATTGAATCATTTCAACTTCATTGTAGTCAAACCTGAGAATCTGAAGCCCTGCATAGGCCATTATTGTCACTAATTTTTGTCTATTTAGCTGTTGTGTTAGGCAACTTTGCCTTTTGAAATGCAAGGCTGTAGGCCGCTCTACATAATTCTTTGACTATGAGCACCTATGCTGAACCTTGTTTAGCTTTAGGTTTCCCATTAGAGTTAATATTACCTAGGAGGATTCTTAGCTAATTTTCAGATCGCATTAGTGTGAGCAAAATGATGCCATAACCATTGCTGAAATCTTATTCTGTAACAGCTGATACTTGAAGATGCATCCAGTTCACCTATAAGTGTGGACTGTGGAGAACTGAATTCTGTTATTAGATTGGCAACCTTGCATTTATCACTACCTACCACTTGTTTATACCTGCCACCTGTAGACCACTTATTACAACACTTCTCTTTAACTTCACTTCTTGTTTGTCTGTCTGCTACAAATCTTATAATCGATAGTTAACACACTTCTACCTTTCCAATCGATCTGAAATTTTGCACACTTGATTAAAGTCGGAGACAATGCATGTATCAATTGACAGACTAAATACTTTTGAAATTTTTTAAAGTTTTTTAATTTAAAAATGAAATAAAAAATTATTATTTTAATATTTCATAATAAAATTAGAAATTCATTGTACATGTGTATCACCGGAGACACTGGATTCTTTAGAAGTGTTGTCTTAAAAAGTAATTTTTTATACCTTTGATGTTACATGGCCTGTTGTCATGTGCTCGTGATTTGGCTGCAGTTTTGCATTATTCACTATCTACTGAATGATTAAATGGTTTTCTCATTATGATGCAGTACACAGAATTTCATAGGATAACCCGTTAATTTCCTCTTATTATGATGCTTATGTCGTGAATGTTGGCGAGGGCTGTAATAAAGTACTTACACTAATTGTGCTAGAATCTACAAATGACATTCCTATTATTTTATTGCCAATTAACCCCTGACACTTGTATATCTTACCTACCTATTGTAATGATCATACAATACCCATTAGAATTATCTACCTAAAACAATGTTATAATAATAGGTGTTTAACAGTGCTACCACTTGATTATAAGAAGCAGGCATCACTGCCACAGTAACACCACTGGTCACAATCACGGCACAATAGATATATAATGTCAACTGAACAGCCAAGAATTCTGCTGAATGCTTTGACTCAGTAAGATCTTCAGCACATTCTTGTCTCATTACCCATGCACTCCACTGTTATTCAAAACATTCATTGTATTGAAAAACTATTCATTCACGTGGCAAGTTGCCACAGGGCATTATTGGGTAATCTTTCTGCCTGCAGAATTTGACCCTAGCAACTACTACAAGTTTTGGGGGGCTCTTGTACAAGAATATGGCAGCATTTTCAAGCTCCACAACATTGGCATGCCCCCCATTGTGGGCACCACCAACCCTGATGACATTGAGGTCTTCCTTAAGAGTACTTTGGAGAACCCTATCCGCTTGGGCTTTGACAGCCTCAAGAGCGTCCGGCTGCGTGCCAAAGACAACTACTTTGACAAAAAGACCGGCCTCCTACCCGAGTAAGGATGCCTTGCTAATTTGAGTTGTATTAAAAAATATGGTAAATTCTTTTTACTAGTTCATTTCAAATTATTTAGGATGCATTTCCTAGTGGGAATGCGTAAATTTAGTTTGAGCTTAATTTGCAGTGGATGGCCGTCAGAAGGTCTTAAGATTAAGGTCCAGAAGAAGGTCTGCAGGACTAGGAGTGATCAGAAGAGGAGGGGCTCATGACTGTTATCATCTGAATCAAAAAGAATAACAAATATTTGATGAATGATGAAATGAATTTTTGTTATATTTGTTGGGATATACAGTGGGTGCAAAAAGTATTCAACGCAAAAGAAAAACTTTATTTAATTAAACCTTATTTAACAAAATAACATATACAAACACTACGTATTCTATTGTAAATTAACATTGGAAATACAGATGTCATTTCAAAACAACAATATCATGAAGTGTTTACCTGATAATTGCAATTTTGTATTAGTCAAGGTTCAAAAAGTATCCAACACATAGTTAACACCATAACATAAACACCATTAGAATGGTGTTTGTTATTTTGTTGAATAAGCTTTAATTAAATAAAGTTGTTCCTATGTCTCAGATACTTGTTGCACCCACTGTACAGTATACCTGTTTTCCATGCTTGAAAACCTATCTTCTTTTAAGTATGAAGTAAATAAGTGTTAGGGAAATTAATTGCTATCATTCAGCATCTCATGGTCATGCAGGTGGCCTCTTCAACTACTGTCAAAGTGGTATTGGTAAGTTGGGCTCGCAAGTTATTTCATCCCCTGACATTGAGCACAAGCAAACCAGCTGTCATGAATGGTCCAAACATTTTATTTTGTTCATTTCCTGCCAACAATCAACCAGGAACGGCGATGAGTGGTGGCGGCTCCGTAGCCGCGTGCAGGTGCCGCTGCTGCGCCCCAAGAACGTCGCCATGTACCTGCCTGCTGTGGACGGCGCCACCAACAAGTTCATGGACAGGTGGGGGGGGACAGTGCTGGTGAGGTGCTGGTGTTGCTTGCGGATGACAGATGCTGGTGAGGGAACAGGTAATGTGGTGTGGCAGTTGTCAGTGTGCCATGCAGGAGGTTGCCAGCTAGGCTTATATCACATGTTTACTGCTAATGCTTGTCAGTAACGACGTACATTAGTGCTTATGCTGCATTTTCATTGCAGGATCGACCTACTGCAGGCCGAGACCGGCCAAGTTCCTGCAGACTTCCTGCAGGAGCTCTACAAGTGGGCCCTGGAATGTGAGTATGGCTCACTGCCATCAGTTTGAGAGGCATGTGGTCAGGTTGTCATCACTCATGCATTGTTTTCTCAGACATCTCCTGAGATTGTTGCCACTGTCCATGAGCCCTAATCATTAGCAGGAATATGATAACTTGAAACACCATCCGTTAATGATGCGTTGTTGCTCGTAGACTATACACTATTGTACTGGTGACAATATGGTTAGGAAGCTGCAATGCTAGGTTGCAAGCTCCAATATGGTGACTAGGTGGCAAGTTCCACAAGTTGCTGTCAATTTCGTTGTGGATGTTTGACCGCCATGGCCAAACACAAGCTCCTCCTCAGCGGTCACCTACTCCTCAACACCTCCTGGACTCCTCAAGTCGCCCTCAACTCGGACCACCTGCCCATCCTGATCCATCTCCCTACCTCTGATGATTCCCCGAACCGCCTTGCCGCCCGGGGGTCGGGGATGGTCGGACTCCACATCAACTTTAAGAAAGCTGACTGGCCCGCCTACACGGCAGCCATCGAAGCGGCTCTCGAGATGGTCCCTCCCCTCCACCTCGTGTGGCGGAGAGTCGACCTTGAGAGAAGTCCTGACGACTGATTCCAGACAGCATATCCCTGCCGGATTCCGGAAGGACTTCTCCCCATCAGTCAACCCTGACACCCTGTTGCTCATCGAGCGACGGGATGACATCAGGGCGCGCAACCCAACCGAACCCCGGCTCCCAGAACTCAACCTGGAAATCGGCATCTCCATACAGGCCCACGCCAGGAACACCTGGCGAACGCATCTTGCAGCAGACGTACCAACCAATCCAAACACTGGAATCTCCTCTGCTCCCAAGCGGGAATGCGTAACCGCCCTCCCACTAATCAGCCAATCCAATTTGGTCTGAATTCCCTCTCCTCTCAGCGCAAGATCTCCTTCGCCTTCTGCCAGCTTTTCACTTCGATTGCTCCTCACTCTGAGCCCCTCCACCCGCCGCCTAATACGTCGAATCAGGGCCGAACATCCCCTCGACAGGCAATTCTCCCCTTTCACACCCGGCATGGTGAAGCTCGCCATCGCAGCCGCCAACAACTCTTCCGCTCGGGGTCCTGACGGCCTTCATCTTAAGCACCTTGGCCCGCGTGGCCTCCAGTTCCTTACCCGTATCTTTAACATCCCCGTCTCCACAGCCTCTATGCCATCCATTTGGAAAAATTCAATAATTATTCTAATCCTCAAACCGGGCAAACCTGGAAACCAGGGCTCCTCATACCGCCCCATCTCCCTCCTCTGCCCTGCAGCAAAGATCCTAGAGCGTCTTGTGCTCCCATACATCTTAGGATCTCTCACCATCGTCTCCTCGCTACATGGTTTCAAGCCGGGACACTGCACAGTCACCGCCCTCCTCCCGCTAGCGCACCAGATCGCGACGAGTTTTAACTCTCGGCGCCCTCCAGCCCGCACAGTCGACCTCTCGAAGGCCTTCGACAGTGTCGACCACCCTCTCCTTCTGAGCATGATCGCGGCCTCGGACATACATCATAACCTGGTCCGATGGCTGTGCTGCTACCTTAGAGGCAGGCAGGCATCCTGCCTCTACCTCAGAACGCAATCGCCTTTCAGAGCTATTCACTCGGGAGTGCCCCAGGGCTCGGTCATCTCGCCGGCCTTCTTTAACCACTTCATCTCTGATATCCCAGTGCCGACCCCCAACATTGCCTCGTATGCGGACGACCTTACCACCTTCGTGTCGTCCCAAGGCTCGACGCTGCCGAGGCTGAGCTCACCGTGCTCCTTCGGAACGTCTCGGATTGGTCGGCTGCCAAGAAACGGCGTGGCTCTTGGCAAGTCCGTGGCCACGCTCTTCACCCCAGACACCCACCAATCTCGATCCCACCCTGCTGCCACAGTCTGCAACGGCATCATCCCCCTCGATAAAACCCCCAAAATCCTAGGCGTCACATAGGATACGCATTTCAAGTTCTCTCGTGTAAGAGCCATTGCCACGAAAGCGAAGGGATCACTTCGCGTCCTAAAAGCCCTTGCCGACACTAACTGGGGCTTCTACAAGGAGGACATTATTGCCACCTCCCGAACCATCACGCGCCCAATCCTCAACTACGCGGCCTCCATCTGGTACCCTGTCGCCTCACGCACAGCAATTTCTAGCCTTCAAACCATACAAAACACTGCATTGAGACTAGCCACCGGCTGCCTCAAAATGGCCCCGATTGCCCATCTTCACCAGGTGACCGGCGTCCTACCTTTGTCCGCGCACCTGGACCTGGCCTGTGCCAAGTTCCTCGCTAGCATCCTCCAGCCCTCTCATACCTCATTCCGCATCGCTTCTGCTCCACTCGGGGACCGCCCTATGAAAGCCTCCAACCAGTCGAGGTTCGGCCACCTGGTCACACCATTCTTGGCTAATGGTATAATGCCCTACGGTGCCAACGGAGAGGCCAAGCGGTCCCTCCACAGGGAGATCGCCTCCCGCGTTGCGGCGACCGACGCCATAAACGCCGTACTTGCAGCCCCACCACTGCCGATTGCATCAGTGGAGGCCTCACTACCGCGCCCCTACCGTTTGGCACTATCTCAGCTCCGCTCGGGATACTGCAGCTTCCTGACGTCTTACTCCGCTAGGAACGGACGCTCCCCTAGCTCTGCCTGCCCGGAATGAGGGGATCGCCTCCAGTCCGTCCAGCACCTCTTCGCCTGCCCTGCCTTCCCCACGCCCCTCAGCGTCTCCTCACTGTGGGACAGCCCCGTGGAGGCAGCGGCATTCCTGGCCACCCTCCCTGCCTTCGCCCATCTCCCCCCTCTTCCGGTGCCTGCCCCCCACCCACAACCTGAGCCTCCCCCCGGCAAGCGTGACAGTCGCAACGAACAACAAACACAAGCTCTGCTTACTTGACATTTGTCTCATTCATCTCCTAAATTTTGACTTTGCTCCATAAATAGTTAAGGTGTGATAATGAAGATTTGTGTTACTTCTCTTCTTCTTATATGCCCTAAGAATTTTGGCATTAATCACGTTTCTTTCGTAGCTTTGTTGCGTCGCGCGAGGCACGGCCTAATATTCATTTGTTGCGCCAAGCCTAATATTGACTTGGGTTTGTTGTCCCAGTTTTGCATCTGATTTATCATTTATTTATTTATATATCAAATTAATAACTATTTATATGTGCGCAGGCATTGGGCTGGTGGCGCTGAACCGTGAACTGGGCTGCCTGGAGCCCAACATCAGCCCAGACGCGCTGCCCGTGCAGCTCATCCGCCACGTCAACGACCTCTTCTCCGCCCTCAACGAAACTGAAATGAACTTCCATTTATGGAAGTTTTTCCGCACGGCGTCGTACACGAAACTCGAGACGTCGCACGCCGCCTTCCTCGAGTGAGTGCAACTGGTATTTGCAGCTGATTTATGCGGCTGATGTGTGCAGCGGTGTCTCAACGCCGCTGAGACGAACTCGTCGCCTACTTTGTCTACCTGGTTGGTAACAAAGAATGAACTAAAGATTAATAAACTAATATGATGACTTAAGGTTGAAAAGGAAAATGAGACGCAAATACTGGTTCTAATAACTATTGGGATCTCATTCAGTAAAAATGACAGGAAAATGACAGAACGAAGGAAAATGTATACGAATGATTAACTGAAGCTAAACTAGAGATGACGCCAAGTGAAGATGCACACAGACCAATGAGCAAAATGCACACCACCAAAATGCTTCTAATATCGAGTTAGTTAGGAGGTTTATAGGAAGCGCGGGACAGCTATTTATCCAGCACCACTCTATAGAATAGCTTTTGAGTTTTGACATTAGATCATTAATGACTAATCAAGCCCTGATCTGAAAAAATAGGAATAATTTTAGTTGAGTTAATAAAATATTTAAACACTTCAAAAGAAAATGTACACAGTAACACACATGAGAGGGGCAAGTGGGTAACCTAAAGTAGCCTAAACCACCCCTGCCAACAGTACCGTAAGTTTTTATCTCAGTTCACCATGTCTCCTGGTATCACATTTCCCTTCTTCATCATAACGGCAGCCATTTCACAAGACCGTCACAAATCATAAACTTCAGTTTAATGTTTGTTACCCAACGTCCTTTGGATTGTCCGGCATGCGGCGCTGACAGCCGTGATGTCAATTTACAAATGAAGTGGATAAACATTAATTTCTTCTGCGTCAATATCAGCAGTCGTATTGTTGGAATGAGTAACTTTTCAGTATTTGACTCCGCTCCTGAATGCTGTGATAATTAACAGGAACTTGGTGGTGCACATCACTTGTATTTAATTATTTTATTGGTAGAGATTTTACTAAGGCGTGGAATGATAAGATACAGGGTGCATTGTGAAATTAATGAGCATTTTCTGGCAAATAACATTTATTGATCGTAATTAGTACAAATGTTCAATATTCTTTAAAATACATTCCTCCTGCATCAATACACTTGCGGAGACGTCTTTGCCACGCCTGAAAGGCACCCTGAAACTCCTCGAAGGGAATGCCTCTAACGTTGTAATATGCAAATATGGTGTTGGACGTGGAAAAGGCTGAGTTTACAGTTCGTCCTTGCGGTACAAACTCACAATGGACTCTTCATTGCATGTCAAAGAAGACAATGATGATCGTTTTGATGGTAAAACTTCGCGCACACGATCCACATTCTCTTCAGTTCGGGTTGTTGTTGGGCGTCCAGAACGGGGTTCGTCGGCAACCTCCTCCCGGCCCTCCTTGAACGTCTTGTGCCACTTCCCAGATTGTGATCATGAAATGCAGTCGTCCTTGAAGGCTTCCTGCAGCATCTGGAATGTTTCGGTTGCATTTCTTCCAAGCCTCACGCAAAACTATGGCGTATCGTTGTTCCAGCAAACGCTCCATCGCGCTATGTTTCAAAAGTCGAAAACAGACTTCAAGGGGAGGCACGTATCTCCGCTCATACTGTTCGAACTCAACTGGCGACAGGATGCATTGAAAGGGCATATCTCCCACCACATTTCTCAGCCGGTTTTACCGTGCTGCCATTTATCGTCGCGCCATAATAGCATTATGCTCATTACTTTCATTGTGGACCCTGTAGATTAAAATAATCCGGAATAGATAATCTGATTCTCATCGAGTATCAAAAGAAACCAATGCTCTAAAATTCATTCTAATTTGCTATGTCAATAATGCAGGACTCTTTGTGCGATCCACAATTTTGTCCTCAGATTTGCATACTGGAACTTGTTAAATTTTTTCATATTTTAGGAAAAATTGCAACATCACTGCTAAGGTTAAGCAAATGGCATTTATTTGTATGTTGAACGATTGAAACAGTTCTGCTTCAGTACTATTATTGTTTTGAAGAATCTGGCTGTAGTAAAAGGTTTTACGGAATATCTTTTAGGCTGACAATGATGCTAGTATATTTACGAGACCTCACAAATGTCCTCAGACTCGCGGCTGGGGCGATGCGGGAGGCGGAGGCCCGCTTGGAGGAGGCCAAGGCCACGGGAGACCCCGACCGCCAGCTCACCATCATGGAGACCTTCCTAAACACGGAAGGCCTCAGCCGCAGCGATGTTGCTACCATGATCCTCGACATGCTTTTTGCCGGCATAGACACGGTGGGGCCCAAGACAAACTGTCATATGGGGCCAGCCTCATATTATTTGCGGACACTTGAGCACTGAGGGACCTTCATGTGATCCGCATCCACACGTAAATTATCTAGAATCCCATCCACTATTTTGTTTTAATACTTATCAGGCTATTGTATTCATCGCTGTATTTATTGCCAACATAAAATGTTATTAACGTTCTTATGTCTTGATTTTCTTGAAATTTCAAGACTTCTCACACGGTGGGCTTCGCCCTGTACCTGCTGGCGCGTAACCCTGAGGTGCAGCGGAGCCTGCAGCGGCAGGTGGACGCCGTGGTGAGGAGGGGCGAGCCCCTCACGCCTGAGCACCTCGCCGCCCTCAGCTGCATCGTCAACGCCGTCAAGGAGACCCTCAGGTGCCCTCAAGGCAGCCGACATCGCGGTCTGATACAGTGCTTGCTGTACGAAACTAACTTGGCTAGCGAAACACATCAAATTGTGAACGGCGATTTAAAGATATTGCATAAACTTTTGTTTTGGCTGTCGCAGTAGTGCATCTCCCAGTGGAGATGTTGCTTATTGAGTGAGATTAATTAACAGACGATCGTTTCTGACGTGAGGCCCGCTTTCAGAATGATTTGTTTAATTAAACAAATTTGATTATAGAATTCAACTTCAATTAACTATATTTATGGAAGCAGAAGCTCCAGTGAGCAGGTGTTGTTCTCTGCCTGGTCGCTCATTTATGTCTTAGTTTCTGATACACACAAGATCTCGTTTGTATTTTTTCTTCTGCACACCTAGATTATACGTTTATTGCTGAACATCTGTCCTGACTGCCAGGTAAAAATGCGGTATAATAATGTAAGAGTGATTTTTTTGCAGACTGTACCCCCTGACCTTCGGCAACGCTCGTGTATTGACGCACGACGTCGTCATGTCTGGCTACAAGGTCCCCGCCGGGGTGAGTGTCGGGCTACAAGGTCCCTGCCGGGGTGAGTGTCGGGCTACAAGGTCCTCGCCGGGGTTAGTGTCGGGCTACAAGGTCCCTGCCGGGGTGAGTGTCGGGCTACAAGGTCCCTGCCGGGGTGAGTGCTACAAGGTTCCTGCCGGGGTGAGTGTCGGGCTACAAGGTCCCCGCCGGGGTGAGTGTCGGGCTACAAGGTCCCTGCCGGGGTGAGTGCTACAAGGTTCCTGCCGGGGTGAGTGTCGGGCTACAAGGCCCCACCAGGTTGATTGCTTCGCCTCCCGCACTGCGTGGCATGACATGCAATTCACGCGCCATTAAGCGTTCTACTCTACGCAGAACAAATGCTGGGCGAGCTTCCCTCATGTCTAGAATTATTCTGCATAGCCTGGCACGTTAACCTCGTGTGTTATGAAGTTTCAAAAAACAACTTCCTGCCAGTAATAAAATATGTTTCCATTTAAATGTAATATTAATTTTTACATTTAAAAAAGTTGAAATATTGGAATTGACTTAGTCACTCTTCTAAGCCTATGATCTATTATCAGCTGATTTAGTTTGTACGCGACAATGAACCCAGGTTGAAGCAGGCAACACTCTAAATTTTTTGGTAAAGCGCTTTTTGGAAGAAGGTAGTCGGTTATATTCATATTGAGTTTTCTAATTGTTTGAATGCTGTAGTCATTCATAGCTTTATTTTAACGTGGAGCGCAATTGTGCATCACTGTCACCATAAGAAGTTCTTCCACAAGCAACCTTAATGTTCGTCTCATATGTTCTAGATGACAGTCTACCTAATTATTTTCCTGTATTTAAAACGTCAGTCAAAAGCGCAATTTCAAGCTGTGCTTGCGTTGCAGATGCTGGCCATGGGCTTCAACGCCGTGATATCCCGCATGGAGGAATACTTTCCTCGGCCCCTCGAGTTCCTGCCGGAGCGGTGGCAGCGCGACCGCCCCTACGGCGCCATCCATCCCTTCGCGTCGCTGCCCTTTTCCCACGGCACCAGGATGTGCATCGGCAAGCGTCTGGCCGAGCAGGAGATATACACCTTCCTCATCAGGGTGAGAACTACGATCCACTGTTGTGCTGGAGCTGATGTTGGGAGGAGCACTAAAGGATATTCTCTAGCTTACTTATTTGAATTAAATAAGTCTACGCCCTTATATAGTAAGGAATAGTAGGAGGAAGCGAAGAGAGTGCTTCATTTTTGTAAGTAACTTCATAGCGCTGGTTTATGTCGTCTTGACTTATTCCTGTTTAGTCAAGCGTTACCAAACCTGTTGCTCGTTACTCACCCTGACCCCTCGTAACCAGCAACCTGTGCGCATCCTTGCAGTCTTGGGAGTCATTCCATTTGTTCGTTTTGCTCCTGTCTCAGTTCTAGCGGTGCCTCGGAGACGTTCGTGACGTGCTCTGTTTGAGTTTATCTTCCCATTTATCTGCTATCCTTTGTTATCTTCTAAGTGTTTTTTCCCCTAATGTAATGTATTCAATCAGCATCGTTCTCGTTTCCATTGAAATGCGTGCCCTTGAGCGTCGGACATCTCAACTGGGTTCCGAGATCTTATGTTTCACTTTGCCTTCTTGCTATTTTGTGCATCACGTACGAATGGTGGGGGTTACGAAGAGTTCTATCTTACTGGCGTTCGTTTCCACGCGTCTTGTATCTTCCTTTTGCCGCGTGCCGTCACTTATCATGTTGCTCGAGAATGGACTGTACTTTACCTTCGAGCTCTCCTGGTATTCTCACATATCCCGATCCTGCTCAGAAGATATTATATGAAAGCTTACGGACGCCTCGGTAAATTTATATCTTGGCACTGCCTTTCTTGCCAGTCTTCTCGACACGCTTCTACTGAACGATCTGGTGCCCTTCCGTGTCCTCTTCAAATAGTCCCTAGTCTCTGCATCCAAAATAATCTTGCTTCGGCTCTCCGATCTGTTATCCAGCAACAGAGTGCGTGATAAATTACGAAGCGCCTGTAGTTTCCTCGCTTACGGTGGCGCTCGTCCATTCAACTAACGTCCCTCTAGAAGTTCTTTGGTTTCCTCGCTTGTTTTGCCCACAGTTTCTAAGTATTCGTCTTACTTCTCCGAGGTGCATCAAGTGAATGAGCCCATAAATACGATCAAATATGTTCGTATGCATTCTTCATCCTGGCAAAGTTCGAAATCTTTATTTACTTCAAAAATTTGTGACTTTACTTAATAAACCTGGACAACTAACCTTTACTTGAAACTAATATCAATGTTTAGATGTATTCTAAATCCAAAGATTTACCCATTAGTGTTAAGAACGTTCACGAAAATTTATAAGGTATTGTGCTTCGATATTCTTTTCCAACGAGCAGTGCATTTCAGATGCTGCAGAAGTACACGGTGACGTTCGAGTCTGACGAAGAGATGGAGGTGAAGACGCAGCTTGTCCTCAAGCCCGCCACTCAGCTCGCCTTTAAGTTCCACCCGAGGAACTGATTCGCCCTCTCGAATTGCGTGCCAATCTTGGCTTACGTTTCGTGGCAAGCTGTCACCAACGCGTCCCCGTATCGTGCTGTCAACAGCGCCTCATGCTACAGACAAACCACAAGTGCCTTCGTCTTTCAACATCAACTGTTCCTGCAATGCACTGCCTACCTGCGTTGCACGAGCGGACGGCACCTAATAATCTTGTTATATATAATCAATAAAAGGCGACCCGTTTAATTGGATAAATAAATCTTTGTATGGGTCAAAAATTAGTCTTCAGATATTAATATTGCAAATTTTTGATATCATCTTGGAGCATTGGCATTGGTTGTGAGGTGATAAGCCGGAGAGCCGGTGACTTTATGGGAATATATGTAATCGTCATTCTTATCCCGGCAGGTAGGCTTCCTGTATTATATTAATGAGCAAATCTTAGTTATTCTTCGCAGTACAAACGATTTTATTAACTAATTTTAGCTCAAACATAATTAGCCTATGCCCTGAGAGTGCGAGTGGCACACAAACAACTGAATTCTCTCATTATGCAAGTCGACAAAACTGGACCATGACCGCTATTCGACTATAATATTATTTGTCACATTTTAAATTATGTTAATTATTTGAGAATATTCACGTGTAGGGCTCCCTGGAGATTATTTTGCCGTGCCCCAAGCAGTTGGTAGTGCAATAAATTTATCTGCCGCATTTGTCATGCCTGATCACTAGTTCTTGCTGAGCTGCCTTGTTCTGTTCATGCTCTGGGGCAAATTTACGTCGTCGTTCCTAACCGGAATGAATCATCTGTAAAATTATTAATAGAATTGACAATTAGTAGTGGTAGTAGGAAAAGGTTTGCTAGCGCTTCAGATAGCTTATCTATTTCACGCCGGAGCCCTGCCATAATAATTTACTTATAGTAACTTGCTATGAACGGTGGTTAGTATGGGTCCTAACGATGCCTGTCCGGCGCGCTTCTGTAAGCGTGCCCAGAAAAGAGGCTTGCTATGTTTTCTTCTTATCCTAAATTAAATTAGAATTTACATTTTTAATATGTTTAGTATTTTCTATCTAATAGTTATCTTTGTATGGACTCGGAAGACTCGCCCCACTGCCTGATATAATCAACTGAAGGAGACTGAACTGAAGAATGTAAAGCTTAACTATATATATATATAATATATACTACTATTTGATATGTAAGAGTAACCATCATATGCTATTGTTATGTTAGAAATTAAGCTGTGTTCCAGCGTCGAACGTTACTTTTACCAATATTTTATATTCACACCAAAAAAGCATTTCTGAAATGACTTCTCTTGTTGTGTCGTTGAACATTTATTGTTAATCCATCTATATATTTTATTAGTGGGTAAACGGCGGTATTTTGTAATCTGTATCAGTGCACTAAATTCAAACGAGTTATCGTAACAAAATATAAGTTTTTATTATTGCCTTTGCTATAATTTTACAGCCTACGCGTGTTACCGACTACCGATTGTTCTGGGTTGGCAAGTTGTGTTGGTTGTTACTGGAAGATCTTTTCCTTACGTCAGCAATCTGCTGTCTTGCTAACCGAATGGCTGCTCATGCTGCGCTCCAGGTGCGAATTGCTTTGAATGCTTTCGGTGCTACTTCCGCTGCTCGTAAATTAATAAGTTAACGATAAAATTATCTACCACGAAGTCTGATGAATATTTTCTGGTGTCTTGAAACGCTTTGCAGCATTTATCTCGTCCACTGCTGCCCAGAAACACCAAATGGTTTTTCCTCGCACTTGCGGCATGAATTGCGTCTTTGAAAGTTACATATAATTAGATATAATTCATTTTCTTTATGCTCAGGCGAAATTTTGCCCAAGGTCAGAGGTTACTGTGCAATTGGCTGCTATTGGCGTGAGCACCGCAGAGCCACAGCGATCAAGTCAGCACCGACTGTACCGTACGGCATCAAACGTGCTACTGCCTGGTAAATTAAATCAAAGAATCATGGAATGACTCCATCAGGCAAAAATCAAAACTCTTAGACTCCCGTAACAGCAGTGAAATTTGGAATTATGATTTCCAAAATTTCAACATTTCATTTAATTATAATAAACTGAGAATAACCCTTTATCGTTGTATGATGTATCTAATATAAAAATCGCTTTCTGGAAGAGAATCGTTCAAAGTGCAATCATAGCGCAATGAACACGTAGTTTCTACTAGACTAATTAACGTCATGGTTGAACTATATAATTCAAACATGAACTATATAGTTCAAATATGAACTAACGTATCGTGAGATTACGTTTTGCGAGCGCTGAGCCAGCCCAAAGCGCGGACACACGCAGAGGGAGAGCTGCCAATCCTGCCATCATGGCTAAGCGCAAAACGTGCGGGTATGCGTCGTTACCCACGACGCAGCGTCGCCCTTCCCGTGCCTGCAGAGTGGGTTCGCTTTCTCAGGCTTTGATCAGACTTAGTTTGGCTAGGACACGAAAAAAAGGCTTCTTATCTATTCTAATGTTACGAGAGGAACGAGCAACAATGAATCAGAGAAAATAGTTCACGAACAATTAAATCATAATTGTATTCCAAGATTGCTCGCAAATTTGGGTCGCCTGCCGAAGACCACAACTGCCCTGGATGTAATGAACAATCATGATTCCTGCCTTCCGGAACGTAGCCTTCAACACTTCAAGCCGTCCATATCTAGGCCGTGGGTCGAACCAGCCCTCGGTCGAACGGCCAATAGTCGGAGGACGATAAATTTTGGAACAAAACTATGCTATCTGAAACCTAACCTCAGATGCGGTGAACGTAAAATTACGTAATTTAACAATGCTCGGAAGTCAGATTCGATCCGCGGCCTGATGGTGCACGGCAGGTGGTGGTCAATGCTGGAGGAGGACAAAGCCGAGCGGAGCACGGCTGATTGGTGGATATCCGGAGAGATCCAAGGCGTTTGATTCAGAGCTTATTGGTGCACAAAATTGGTGGTGCACGGCTGCGCTCCCTCAAATTTTAGCTAGGGTGCAAGTTGGGGCCACCCAGCAACGCACTACGCAGTTAATCACAACTAAATCTTTTCCACGAAGTGCAAAGATACATTGATACAAAATTAACAGATAATAAAATCCAATTGTACAATAGAAAAAATCATATTGCTATATGCTAATATCCATTACATAAAATGAATATCCTGAAAAAAAAAACAGCTTCAGCGCCGACATCACTATGTTATGTTATGTTATGGTTGCATGCTGGCATGCAGTGCATTATATGATATAGGCGGGTTGTGCCCCATGCAATAATTTTTTTTTTTTTTTTCCAAACAAAAGTCAATCAAATTAAGCTAACATTTTGGTGGGACTTTCAAAATTAAATACCATATGCGCGCCGATGCGGAAAGTGGCTGTCCGCCATTTTGCCAGCATTGTTTATGTTTGAGCGTACTTTGTGCACATACCTATACAGTGTACTGCTGTACTCAACTCATCCATTACCTATATGTACTCTGAAGTCTTCTTTTTCCTTCGTAGATGATGTAGAGCCTGTAGAGGTAGAAATTGTAGAATAAATGACATTTCCTGTGATTTTTACTTGTTTTTCCTTTATTGATGTGATATTACTTTATCCATTATTGATGTAATATAACTAATATTACCTACTCCATTCCTCATGGACATGCCATTGAGCATTGACAACAAGAACAACCTTGTCCACTGCAAGCTTCATATCACTGATATCAGCAGGTGCTGAGTCTGCTTTGCCACTATGTCAGCAGCCCAGGGCGCAGAGGGTGGATGCAGCGACGCCAATATATGGGTTTTTAAGCCCTAAGCGTTGCCGGGTAATTTTAAGATGCGTCGCCAGGTAATTTTTAATGAAAAGCCATTTACGCTGAGTACCGGTAATGAAAAACTATTTACAAGCCATGAACTTATTTACAAGGTTGCATGCACACAGAATGGAATTCTAATTTCAAAGGTTCATATATTATTTCGATCCACCAAGACCACTTTTTCTATCCAACATCAATATTTGAGGCAAAAAATGAACTTCTTAAAGGCTTAAAACACGTACGCTAACTTGCTCAGTTTCTATAAAGTAGGGTAAACGCGGTATATTCCGACACATTAAGGACGCATCGAGAAATGAAAAACTATAAAAAAAACGTATGCGTTACGTAAGTTCTGTTGCCTTCACATGACTCTCCAAACACTTCATTACGCGTCAGCAATGATGAAACGTCACAAAATGTTGCCATATTTATTAAAAAGCCTTTAGAATGGAAACCTACCAAATCCCTATATTCCGTCACTTTGTGTGGCAACATACGACACGTGTTAGCAAAGGAAAGGAAAATTATGTAGTTTGATAAAAGTGAGCAGTAGATATGGCAGCGATCTTTACCAGTTGAAGGCTAACAAGTAACTAGCCCTTTACGCACTGAATTATGTTTCGAAAGTGAAAAAACAATCTGAATTACTTTTCAGATCACGGCAGTCTTTGTGTTGTACTGGCAGTAGCGACGCGCCTACTCCATCGAACGTCGTTCGAACGAGTTCACAACATGTGACGCTACCGTCACACTCGCAGCTAGACTCCAAACGTGTAATTACTCTCGGTAGAAGCTTTTATTTTCTGTGTGACGAATTCGTCACACCAGGGCTTAAAGGGCTAGAGCACCGGCATGGCACACTTACTGGCGAACGTTGCCGAACTCGATCATTCGAGTTATGAACGAGACAAGGCGCGGTTAAACCGACTCTGTAGTCAGCACGAGTGCCTACGGAACGGGACCTTATTTAAAGAATTATTGGCTGAAATTCATAAAGTAACAACATTTTGCGAATTTTTCCAAAAGTCATAACAAAAGTAACAACATAAGATCTAATAAGCAAAAAGTAACACTTTTGATACGAACATAACACCTCTGGCTAGAGGCGGGAAAATGATGCATTGTGAAAGAAAAGTCGCACTAATCAAAACTGGTACCGTGTAGATTAAGGGTAGGTCACAACTTTTTTTTCCGCGTTAATCAAAACCGCGGTATTCAAAACCGTGCTAATCAAGGGATTGCTATATCACGTTGGCTAACGTGCTACTGAATTAAATAGGTACCTAGCTTCTTTCCCGCTGCCAGTGCATAATCTAGCGTGTTGATCAATTGTATACTTAATTCGTATACGATTGTATACGAATTAACTAATCATTTGTATACTTAGTGCAAGAGAATGAATAATTATGTTGTTTCTGATCAAACAAACGAAAACTTTTTCTGTTTCTGATCAATCAAATGAAAACTTCTGATCAAACGAACAAAAACTTCTGATCAAACGAATGAAAACTTCTGATCAAATGAACAAAAATTTCTGATCAAACGAATGACAACAAACTTTTTGAAGATAATTCTGAAATCATAACGTCTATTGAATTCTAATACGGATCGTTAATTTTAACATTGTATTTCCAAAAATCAAGTATTGCATTTCTTTTACCTAATTGAAAAACATTCTTTTACATAAAAAACCACGAATTTTTTCTTACAGCTCCTCAGGAAATAGGAATGACAAATGAATGCTCCTCATATTGACATATGACGATCTTACTCTTATAGCTAAAAGTTTTAAATTGAATGATGTAATTTCAAACACTCCATTGATTACAGAACTTTAGTTTTCAGAAGTGTATTCAAGAAAAGTTTCTGAAATAGTAGGAACATTTCCATGATCATTCTGAAATAGAAGCGTCATTTCCGTTCTTATATATAAACAGGATTAATAAAATACCTATCAAATCCATCCAATGTCACTCAATTTGTGATGTATGAAAGATGTCAGGTGTCTGTTTCTGTGACCACCTGATGGATTTGTACTGAGGGTCTGGGTACTTATTGTTCCAAGTGTGACTAAGGCAGGACAAGTGAAACACGATTAACGCTAGAACTATTATAAGAATAAACTGGCTCGGTGAGTACAGAAGGACGGGGATTGACAGGTACAGCACAAGTATGTGCCGGAGAAGCGGCTAGCAAGATGACAGCTAGGCAGTACCGCTACAACTGACAAGCGATGCACTGCTCTGGCTATATATAGTCCTTAACAGGGATGACGTCACTAGGCGTGACTCTACCATGTGGGAACAGAACAAGCTATTAGATGTTGATGTATTATGATCTAGATGGTGATAGAAGATGATTGGACAAAGACAGTTTCAATTTGATTCCTATGATGCCCATTTTTACCGGTTGAAGCTGTAGAATTAAATTAAATTAAAAAATTAAATTTTACTAAATCAAAATTTAGTATTTAATACACTAGATGGTACATGCTGTAGAATTAAATTCTATTAGAAAAATGTTAAATTAAAAATCTGATTATATTTTTTAAATTGAAAATTAATTTTTATT